GGGGACGCGACGGGGCGACGGCGGGAAGAGCCGGTCCCTGGGGAGAAACAGCCAAGATCAGGGGGGGAAAAGAGCCAAGATTGGGGGAATATTTGGGAATAATTGGAAATATTTGGGGAGAATAGCTGATATTTAGGGAATAATAGGAAATGTTCGGGGAATAATAGGAAATATTTGGGGAATATAGGAAATATTTGGAAATAATAGCCAAGATTTGGAGCTAAAAGCCAAGATTTGGGGAGGGATAGGAAATATTTGGGAAATAATAGCTGATATTTGGGGAATATTTAGGGAATAATAGGAAATATTCGGGGAATAATAGGAAATATTTGGGGAATATAGGAAATATTTGGGAATAATAGCCAATATTTGGGGCTAAAAGCCAAGATTTGGGGAGGAATAGGAAATATTTGGGAAATAATAGCTGATATTTGGGGAATATTTAGGGAATAATAGGAAATATTCGGGGAATAATAGGAAATATTTGGGGAATATAGGAAATATTTGGGAATAATAGCCAATATTTGGGGCTAAAAGCCAAGATTTGGGGAGGAATAGGAAATATTTGGAGAATAATAGCCGATATTTGGAGAATATTTGGGAATAATAGCTATTTTGGGGGGAATAATAGAAAATATTTGGAGATAATAGCAATGTTTGGGGAATAATAGGAAATATTTGGAGAATGATAGCAAATATTTAGGGAATAATAGGAAATATTCAGGGGATAATAGCCAATATTTGGAGAATATAGGAAATATTTGGGGATAATTACCGATATTTGGGGATTAAAGCCAAGATTTGGGGAGTAAAATGAAATATTTTGGGAATAATAGCCAATATTTGGAGAATATTTGGGAATAATAGCCATTATTTGCGGAATAATAGCCAGTATTTGGGGATAATAGCAAATATTTGGGGACAGTAGCCAATATTTGGGGAATAACAGGAAATATTTCGTGATAATAGCCAAAATTAGGGGAATAATAGCCAATATTTGGAGAATGATAGCCAATATTTGGGGGATAATAGGAAATATTTGGAGATCATAGCCAATATTTGGGGAATATTTGGGAATAATAACCAATATTTGGGAAATAATAGGAAGTATTTGGGTGTAATAGCCATTATTTGGAAATAATAGCAAATATTTTGGGATAATAGCCACTATTTGGGGGGAAATATTTCGTGATAATAGCCAAAATTAGGGGAATAATAGCCAATATTTGGAGAATGATAGCCAATATTTGGGGAATAATAGCAAATATTGGGGGAATATTGAGGCAACAATAGAAATATTTGGGAATATTTATTGAATAATAGCAAATATTTCGGGAATAAGAGCAGAATAGCTGGGGGAGTCCCCCCGACTTGGGTTCTTGGGAATATCGGGAATGACGGTGGCCGTGCCGGGCCCCCCCCTCTGCCCCGCAGCTGACTCACGGCGTCATGAACAAGGAGCTGAAGTACTGCAAGAACCCGGAGGACCTGGAGTGCAACGAGAACGTGAAGCACAAGACGAAGGAGTACATCAAGAAATACATGCAGAAATTCGGGGCCATCTACAAACCCAAAGAGGACACGGACCTGGAGTAACCCCCGCCACCTCCTCCACCATCTCCACCACTGCCTCCACCATCTCCACCACCTCCTCCACTGTCTCCACCACATACTCCACTGTCTCCACCATCTCCACTACCACCTCCACCATCTCCATCACCCCCTCCACCATCTCAACCACTGCCTCCACTGTCTCCACCACGTCCTCCACCATCTCCACCACCGCCTCCACTGTCTCCACCACGTCCTCCACCATCTCCACCACGTCCTCCATCATCTCCACCACCTCCTCCACCATCTCCACCGCGTCCATCACCATCTCCACCACGTCCTCCATCATCTCCACCACCTCCTCCACCATCTCCACCGCGTCCATCACCATCTCCACCACGTCCTCCATCATCTCCACCGCATCCATCACCATCTCCACGGTGTCCATCACCATCTCCACCACGTCCTCCACCGTCTCCACCATCTCCACCACCTCCTCCACCGCGTCCATCACCATCTCCACCATCTCCATCACGTCTACCATCATCTCCACCATGTCCTCCACCATCTCCACCACCTCCTCCACCATCTCCACCATGTCCATCACCATCTCCACCGTGTCCACCGCCATCTCCATCATCTCTACCACATCCACCACCACCTCCACCTCCTCCTCCACCTCCTCCCCGTCGATACCGGACGCAGCCAAACCTCGGAACACCCGATTCTGCCGGAATCCGCTCTTTTAAACCAACCAACCTGTGAATTTATTATTTTATTTTATTTTTAAGGAAAAAAAAAAAAAACAACAATTTTATTTTATTTTTAAGGAAAAAAAAAAAAAAACAAAAAATAAATAAGGAAAATAAACTTGGTTTCCTACGGCGTGAGGCGGTTTGTGCTGCCGGGCC